ACGGTTTGTAACCCATCCTTGAAATCAGCTTCTGTACCCAAGGACTGGAAGATAGCTAATGTAATGCCAATATTTAAGAAGGACTCTAGAGGTGATCCTGGCAATTACAGACCGGTAAGTCTAACGTCAGTACCGGGCAAATTAGTTGAGACAATAGTAAAGAATAAAATTGTCAGACACATAGAAGAACATAAAGTGTTGCACAAAAGTTAACATGGTTTCTGTAAAGGGAGATCGTGTCTTACTAATCTATTAGAGTTCTTTGAGGGGGTCAACAAACATGTGGAGAAGGGGGATCCAGTGGACAGTGCATTTAGATTTCCAGAAAACCTTTGACAAGGTCCCTCATCAAAGGCTCTTACGTAAATTAAGTTGTCATGGGATAAGAGGGAAGATCCTTTCAAGGATTGAAAACTGGTTAAAAGACAGGGAACAAAGGGTAGGAATAAATGGTAAATTTTCAGAATGGAGAGGGGTAACTAGTGGTATTCCCCAAGGGTCAGTCCTAGGACCAATCCTATTGAACTTATTCATAAATAATCTGGAGAAAGGAGTAAACAGTGAGGTGGCAAAGTTTGCAAAGGATACTAAACTGCTCAAGATAGTTAAGACCAAAGCAGACTGCGAAGAACTTCAAAAAGATCTCACAAAACTAAGTGATTGGGCAACAAAATGGCAAATGAAATTTATTGTGGATAAATGTAAAGTAATGCACATTGGAAAAAATAACCCCAACTATACATACAATATGATGGGGGCTAATTTAACTACAACTAATCAGGAGAAAGATCTTGGAGTCATCGTGGATAGTTCTCTGAAGACGTCCACACAGTGTGCAGCGGCGGTCAAAAAAGCAAATGGAACGTTAGGAATCATTAAAAAAGGGATAGAGAATAAGACAGAGAATATCTTATTGCCCTTATATAAATCCATGGTACGCCCACATCTTGAATACTGTGTACTCATCTCAAAAAAAAGATATACTGGCATTAGAAAAGGTTCAGAAAAGGGCAACTAAAATGATTAGGGGTTTGGAACGGGTCCCATATGAGGAGAGATTAAAGAGGCTAGGGCTTTTCACATTGGAAAAGAGGAGACTAAGGGGGGATATAATAGAGGTATATAAAATTATGAGTGGTGTGGAGAAAGTGAATAAGGAAAAGTTATTTACTTGTTCCCATAATATAAGAACTAGGGGCCATGAAATGAAATTAATGGATAGCAGGTTTAAAACAATTTAAAGGAAGTTCTTCTTCACTCAGCGCACAGTCAACCTATGGAACTCCTTGCCTGAGGAGGTTGTGAAGGCTAGGACTATAACAGGGTTTAAAAGAGAACTGGATAAATTCATGGAGGTTAAGTCCATTAATGGCTATTAGCCAGGATGGGTAAGGAATGGTGTCCCTAGCCTCTGTTTGTCAGAGGGTGGAGATGGATGGCAGGAGAGAGATCACTTGATCATTACCTGTTAGGTTCACTCCCTCTGGGGCACTTGGCTTTGGCCACTGTTGGTAGACAGGATACTGGGCTCTATGAACCTTTGGTCTGACCCAGTATGGCCATTCTTATGTTCTTATGTTCCTACACTGCCTCTCACACCAAGCCCCAAAAGGCCCCTTTTATTCTCCTTGCTTCAATGCCCTACACCTAGGAGTACTAAGGCCTTTCTTCTCTTCCATTTGCATTCCTCCCCATCAGCCCTAAAAGCTCTTTCTTCTCCTCTTCCCCCCATTATCTCTTTCATAGAACTCCCTTCTCTTTTGTTCTTACCCCCAATGAGTCCCAAGGTCCCTTGTCTTTCTTATTCTTCCTTTCCTCTCTGATTGTAACCTCTCCCGCACTTAACAGATTTATGCTTTTTTTGCTGCTCTGGTTTGGTGGTGGCCCACAGCATCATTTGGATGGTTCACTGAGGTGTTTCATAGTAACAGAGTGAAGGCAAAAGCAGGCACATAAATCAGCTCCAGAACATTTTGCCACCGGCACACAAATCTTGTTAGCTGCCTATTATTGCACCTCTCCTCCTCCCTCAGGCTATCTGGCTCACAAATTATTCTCAAGTGACCTGAGGTGCACACCAACCTTTAGACCAGCCCTGGCCAATAGAAGACAGTTTGCTGGGCTAGTCAGGGTGGTGGAGGATGTGGTGCAGGTACACGATTTAGTGTACCTGCAGCACTCATAAGAGGGAACCTGCAACTTGCCTGTTGAGAGAAGAAACAAAGAGGTGGGGCAGAGGCAAGAAGCAGATTTGCAATTGTGGAAGGCAGAACCCAAATGCCAAGGTTCCCTCCCTACTCCCCGATTCCTGCGGACTCCAGTGTTCTCTGATGGATCTCTCTCTGTGTCTCTCTCACACACAAACACAAATTAAAATATTTCAATTCAACTTCATGGATCAATGTGCCCCCACAACAGTGCAGGGCTCAGTTTTGTGGAGCCTATCTTAATTCTCCTCTGCTTACTTTAGCTCAGGAAGGGTCCATGAAATAATCAGAAACAGATTGCGTAAAATACTGAGAAAAAAATCTGTCTGTGGTATTTCTACCTGGTCAGAACATCACCAGACAGCCTGTTCTCCTTCGAGTTCCAATTCTATTTCCAGATAAAACGACTTAGATAAATTCCAATAAGTTTCTGATAAACATCAAAAGCTAATGTACTTATCTAAACTGAAGTGCCAAACCTTCTCAGGTTCACCTGCCACTAGATGCTTTTTTTGTTTCTTAGGGAGGATGAATGAAGTGGGAGCTGCTTCTAACCCTTTTTCCCTGGCCATGTCATGCGAGGAGAATAGTCATGAAAATCCTGTTTGGGAAAAGAGAGAGAGGCACATACCATATTCTGCTTTGTTCCCTTGAAAATTTGTATAAGAAACATTCAGTTGTGCTTGTGACAGCATATTACTATCAAAACCTGCAGTTTGGATGCATACTAAGGGTAACGTCACATCTTGATGTGTACAGATTTCACCACTGATACATAGGGGTTTAGTCATGTAATGTTTAAATTATATGCCACTGAAATCTCAGCGTCCGGGGGACTAAAGCTGGTTGAAGAAACACTGAAGGAGCCATATTTTGTTTCATGCTTATCTCACTTTGGGGTTGCTGAGTTTCTCTTTTCCCCACCTAATAAAATGGTCCAGGACAAACAGGAATGCTTCTGTGGACACCAAACAATCCAGTGTAGCCAGATTTGTTGGATTACCCCGCATGCCCTGATCCCCCCTCTACCTTCTCGGGAACTGCACTGACGGGGACCTTTGACTATTTCTCTCTTTTTGTTATGTGTATGTACAGTGCCTAGCACAGTGGGATCCTGGTCTATGACTGTATCCCTGTAGGTCAGTGGTCACCAACCTGTCAATCATGATCGATTGGTCAATCCTGGAGCTTCTGCCACTTGATCATGACCTCTGGGCCGCTAAAAGTCCGGCAGCGCAGCAGGGCTCAGGCAGGCTGTCTGCCTACTGTGGCTCCATGCCGCTCCCGGAAGTGTCTGGCTGTGGCACATCTCTGCAACCCCGGGTAGCAGGGGTGGGGGTAAGGCAGCTCTGCATGCTGTCTCCTCCCCGAGCAAGGGAACCAGCCAATGGGAGCTCTGGAGGCAGCACTTGAGGGCGCAGGCAGCAGACGGAGATCTGCTTCCCCCACCCCACGGGGCTGCAGAGATGTGCCAACAGCCAGCTGCTTTTGGGAGCAGCCCAAGGCGGGCAGGCAGCATGCCTGAGCCCCCTCACCACTAATCGGGAGCCACCTGTGGTTAGCGCCTTCCGGACGGAGCCTGCACCTTGCACCCCCTCCCATGCCCCAGCCTGGAGCCCCCTCTTGCACCCAAACTCCCTCCCAGACCCCTCATCCTCTCCTGCACCCCAACACTCTGGACCAGCCCAGAGCCCCTTCCTGCACCAAACTCCCTCCCAAGGCCAACATCCCTCACCCCCTTCTTCACCCCAATCCCCTCAACCAGCACAGAGACTCCTCCTGCACCAAACTCCCTCCGTGGGTCCATACCCCTCACCCTCTCCTGCACCCCAACACTCTGCACCAGCCCGGAGCCCCCTCCTGCACCCAAACTCCCTTCCACAGCTTGCACCCCACACTTCTGCATTCCAGCCCCTACCCCAGGCTCAGCCAATGCACGCCTCACAGTTGAGAATGTTACACTGATTTGTGACAACCCCTGAAGGATTTTGAATTTATAAACCACAAATGACATGAATACAAATAAAATTAATGAAATGTCCAGTGGATTCTATGAGACCATATGATCCCTGCACCCAAACTCCCTACCAGAGCTTGCACCCCTCACTCCTGCACCCCAACCCTCTGCCCCAGGCTCAGCCTGGGTGCCCCTCCCACACACTGAACCCCTCAGCCCCACCCCAGAGCCTGCACCTGCACCCCCACCCCTGCCCCGTGAAAGTGAGTGAGGGTGCGGGAGAGTGAGTGATGGAGGGATGGAGTGAGTGATGGAGTGAGTGGGGCAGGGCCCTGGGGAAGGGGTGCGGCAGATCCTGGGTTGGTTATAATTCAAAAAGTGATTTTGTGCATAACAAGGTTGGAGACCACTGCCATAGGTGCTACTGGAATGCAAATATTTTCATCTCATCCCCTAACTTTTTTGACATTGCACATAGGGACTGCATGAAAGATAATGCTAAAGGGGTCAGCATTATCTTCACAGATTCTTTCCAACAGGTCTGAAGAGAAATCATGCTATGTAGAGCTGCTACCCCTTTCACCTCCCTGCCTTTCAAAGCAACCAAACCACATCCTACTGATGGAGCCCCAAACCCTCTGTGTGTTAGGTGGAATCATGCTCAACCCCTTCCCTCTAACAAATTTCAGTCCAATTTATTTGCAGCTTTACTATTTTCTGGAGTTTTACCTTTTATGGTTGTTTTTCTGGGAGCTATTATTTGAGAGAACAAAATGTATATGATAACTGCTAAATTTACAGTAACAATCCTGTGTGAAACTTTGAACTCACATGATCTGGGGTTTTATGAACACTTCCTTTGATTTCAGTTTGTTTTGGTTGGTACCACTCCAGTTTCACTTTGTATTTTGGGTTCATCTGAACCTGAAACACAAAACAAAGCTCAGTTATAAGTACTCAGTCTGACTTAGATTGTTTAAAAAAAATCTTTCAAAACCTGAAACCTAAGCAAAACCTTCCATGACTATTGTCTCAGATACAAGCTTTTAAATGAAACCCCAAAACAATAAGTTTAATTTGATTTTCAAAATGTTTCTGCAAATATTTCAGAACTATACTCCGAACCAAAGTAGAATGATTCTTAAGGTTATCCCTAGAATTGGCTTAATGCATGAATCACTGATTAAGGGTAGTAGCTTATTCAGATTTAGTCATTTTATTTTATTTTCCTTTAACTCATAGTCAGAAGTTCCCAAAAGAATAATCAGGAGACCATTTCTGGAGCAATTCCTGAAATAATTATAATTAAGTCTGGAAATCTTCCTAAGACTGAACAACAAAAATACTGGTAGCAGGCAGTCATGATGGACTCTTGAGGATACTGCATGTTGTTCAGAAAGTAGAAAGCAAAGACCTCAGGAAATGGTCTCTGGCATCAGTGTTGTTTAATGCAAATGCTGAAGGAAGTTCAACGGAAAGCATTTATCAGGAATTTCCATCCAGGGAGGAAGATATGTTGTTTTAGGAAAAATGCAAATATTAGTCAGCAGACCGAGGGCAAAAGAAATAGGAAGTGGGTTACAGAGTTCTTTGAAATCATATCTCACTGAACAGTGAGAAAACACTTATTATTTTAAATTGGACCACAACTCAAGACTTTTTGCAGCATTGTGCTATCACTTGATATTTTCTGCTTCCATGCCAAATTCAGAGGTTGGACAAAACATTAATTTTATTGCTATTTTGACACATCACCAGTATGTTGATTATTGATGATGTTTGGACAACTCATAGGAAAAACAAAATCCTATCAAGAAAATCAAGGATCTTGTCAGCATTAAAACCGTTGATTTTACAGCATTTTATAGACTTTTTTGTTTAAGGTAAAGTGGCAAAATACAGCACATTATTTGTGCTACCATGCACTTAGTTGAGGACTATTATGGTATAGAGATAAAGATTTCTGAAGTTAAAATTATAATTTTGGCAGGTAAAAGTCTGTTGCAGGGAGCAAAGAGACTGTGCTGCCACAAGAACTCTGACTGATTCAGCCAAAATCTAGGGGTCTACTTGCATGGAGGAAAAATTGTAATGGCAGCTTCACACCCCATTCAGGTGGGAGGCATTCTTTTGATGATGTTAGCAGCAGATGTGGGTGCTCTCCAGTAAGACTAGACCGAACCTCTGAAGGTTTTTTGTTCAAGTATGGCTACTTTTAAATCTGTTATAGAATGTCCAGGAAGATTGAAGTGTTACCATTCCTGATGTCTGTTTGGTATCCAGTATTAAATTCCAGTATTTTCATGTCTCTCCCTCTCTAGTTCCTTCATCCATAATACAGATGAACATTGCATAACATTGCATATGAGCTGAATAAGTGAAATTGGATAAGTAGATGACTTAATCAACTAGGCCTCAGTTCAGCAAGGTACTGGGACTACTCAGGTGCTTTAAGTTAGACAGGTGTCATAAAGAGGTTGCTGAATTGGGCCCTAATTTTCTGTAGGGGTAGCAGCAAAAATGGTTCTTCAGGAGGTGTCTTAAATGAAGAGAGGGTATTGGCTTAGGAGACTAGCTCACAAAGGCATCTCCCATACATGGTGTGATGTGCAAAACAGTTCTAGATGATCATGGGTGAAGCATATAAATGGGGCATCAAGGCTGACATCACCAGGAGAGAGAAGGTGACCCAATAAGAGAGAAGGGCATAGCTATGTAGAGCCTTGAAGATGATAAATTTGAAATTGATGTAGTGCAAATGTAGGGGCCCCAGCGTGAGTGATGTGATCAGATCAACAGGAAAGGAAGATTGTCTTACTGACTGCATTTTGAATGGACTTGACAGGACACAAGTGCACAAGTCCATGGGGCCGGACTCGTGCACAAGTCCATGGGGTCGGACGAGTTGCATCCGAGAGTGCTAAAGGAATTGGTGGCTGTGATTGCAGAGGCATTGGCCATTATCTTTGAAAACTCGTGGCGAACGGGGGAAGTCCTGGATGACTGGAAAAAGGCTAATGTAGTGCCAATCTTTAAAAAAGGGAAGGAGGAGGATCCTGGGAACTACAGGCCAGTCAGCCTCACCTCAGTCCCCAGAAAAATCACGGAGCAGGTCCTCAAAGAATCAATCCTGAAGCACTTACATGAGAGGAAAGTGATCAGGAACAGTCAGCATGGATTCACCAAGGGAAGGTCATGCCTGACTAATCTAATCGCCTTCTATGATGAGATTACTGGTTCTGTGGATGAAGGGAAAGCAGTGGATGTATTGTTTCTTGACTTTAGCAAAGCTTTTGACACGGTCTCCCACAGTATTCTTGTCAGCAAGTTAAAGAAGTACGGGCTGGATGAATGGACTATAAGGTGGGTAGAAAGTTGGCTAGATTGTCAGGCTCAACAGGTAGTGATCAATGGCTCCATGTCTAGTTGGCAGCTGGTGTCAAGTGGAGTGCCCCAGGAGTCGGTCCTGGGGCCGGTTTTGTTCAATATCTTCAAAAAGGATCTGGAGGATGGTGTGGATTACACCCTCAGCAAATTTGCGGATGATACTAAACTGGGAGGAGTGGTAGATACACTGGAGGCAGGGATAGGATACAGAGGGACCTAGACAAATTGGAGGATTGGGCCAAAAGAAATCTGATGAGGTTCAATAAGGATAAGTGCAGGGTCCTGCACTTAGGATGGAAGAACCCAATGCACAGCTACAGACTAGGGACCGAATGGCTAGGCAGCAGTTCTGCGGAAAAGGACCTGGGGTGACAGTGGACGAGAAGCTGGATATGAGTCAGCAGTGTGCCCTTGTTGCCAAGAAGGCCAATGGCATTTTGGGATGTATAAGTAGGGGCATAGCGAGCAGATCGAGGGACGTGATCGTCCCCCTCTATTCGACATTGGTGAGGCCTCATCTGGAGTAATGTGTCCAGTTTTGGGCCCTGTACTACAAGAAGGATGTGGATAAACTGGAGAGAGTCCAGCGAAGGGCAACAAAAATGATTAGGGGTCTGGAACACATGATTTATGAGGAGAGGCTGAGGGAACTGGGATTGTTTAGTCTGCAGAAGAGAAGAATGAGGGGGGATTTGATAGCTGCTTTCAACTACCTGAGAGGTGGTTCCAGAGAGGATGGTTCTAGACTATTCTCAGTGGTAGAAGAGGACAGGACAAGGAGTAATGGTCTCAAGTTGCAGTGGGGGAGGTTTAGGTTGGATATTAGGAAAAACTTTTTCATTAGGAGGGTGGTGAAACACTGGAATGCGTTACCTAGGGAGGTGGTGGAATCTCCTTCCTTAGAAGTTTTTAAGGTCAGGCTTGACAAAGCCCTGGCTGGGATGATTTAATTGGGGATTGGTCCTGCTTTGAGCAGGGGTTGGACTAGATGACCTCCTGAGGTCCCTTCCAACCCTGATATTCTATGATTCTATGACACATGGGGGTCAGGGAGACCAAACCAGCGAAGATTAGCAGTGGACTTTGACTTTTTATATATGACACCAGCAGGGTTCCAATTCTACCTCCTGGATAGCAGCGGGATAACCTTTGGAGTTCCAGTGGTCTCCTAAACCAATGAATGGCAGGAGGAAGAGGGCTTATATTGAGAGGGGGTCATGAACTAAGTTGTTGAAATAATATATATATTTTAAAGTAGGTTGGGGGCAGTTGGGAACATACAGTGTGTGCGTGTGGGGTGGGAGGGAACTGAATATAAAATATAGATATAGAATGAGTTGCATGGCCGGATCTCCATTTTTACCAATAATACATGAGCCAAGTCCCTCCCAGATTTTGCTGTCAGTCAGAGTGAGGTCTCATTAAAATTCTAATAATTTAAAACATATAAACTAAATTGAACTTATTAATGAAACAGGTTTGGATTTGGTTCTAATAGTCCTTTAAAGAACGCTACCTACATTAAGAAAACAATAATAATCCATCAGATTATATACAGTTACCTCCAAATCCATATATAGTTAGATAACTTTATAAATGGTCACTAACTGAAACCCAACCTATGCTGGCAGTGACAAACATATTAGAATTTGATAACTGTTCATGGGTCTATATGAAACAAGATGAGGAACTTTGATGTGTTTCTCTTGGACAGCTATTTACACAATAACAAAAAAAGCATAATGGCACTCTTACTAGAAGGGCCATAACCTGATGGTATAAAGACTGAATTTTCTTACAGCAATAGAAGTGGTCCCTTAGAGTCAGGTTTGAGGAATATCAAAGGAGTGATGAAGTTTGCAATTCCATTGCTATATCTTTGTATAGATAATCATGGGATTCAGATCTCAATCATAGTAGTATCAATTTGGCACTTTTAGTTAGACGTGAAATCCCTTTACAAATTGAATAAATTGTTAGTTTTTATATTGTATAAGATAATGAAGGAGAGACCAAGAATTGATAAGATATTTTACTGTAATCCAATCCTGTAATTTAGAAATGGGGGTACTTACTTATTTTAATTTGTCTAAATAATTTCACTAGACCAGATTTTAATCATAACATATTGACTTTAGTCACTCATCTATCTTTATAGTAAAAAAAACCAACAGTTATTTTATTATCAAGATCATTAGGACATAATATAAACCATAGCAGAAAATGAGTTATTACATTTTAAGTGGCAATTACTGCAACCATCATATTACTGTTTTGATAACATGTTTGTATTTATGTCAATATATTCTCCAATAGAAAAATTTTCACTAAATAAGACAAAATGGCCATAACTTTTGTGCAATTAGCGGTCTCTCCTCCACAAGAATAACGATTTAAAGTTTATTTAAATTGATAATACAACATGTCCGCAATACTGTACAGTACAGAAAGCAATATTAGGTCTGTTCTGCCAGATGTTTGATGTGTTATTAAGTTTAAGGTAGCATGGGATCAAGTCACAGAGCTAAACTCCAGGC